ATGGCAGTAAAAAAAGAATGCCTTCCATGGCAGTGAAAAAGTAATGTCATTAAGTCATGAAGATTTTTTCTAATTTTTCCCACAGAAGTTAAATGTGCTTCGAATTTCTCGTAAAAAAACCAGTACCCTAACAGGCATTCTTAGGCAACCACATTTTGCATGGTCCGAATGGGTATCTGCAGTCAATGTACATGGCTACTGTTTAACTGCGTTTTAAATTGTATACAAACACACAACCAGTCCCGTCGGTCAGCAAATCAAATTTTTGCTAGTCGTAGAAAAATGTCCGGTTATACGTCCATAAAAAAAGCATTCCATATTTCGACCTTTTAGCGTTCAATTTCTGCGTCTAACGAATGTGACTAGTATTTTAACATGAACAAAGCACCAAAATCGATATTAATCGAAGAAGCAAAAAACAAAATTAATAGTTTAAGATTTTTAATGCCAAGATGAGATGACCTGTACTTGGAAGTTCGATTTGAGACACCAAAGTACATACACATACAAACATATATTGCATGCATGCAACGTACATACATATCGTCGTTTAAAGTGCAAAACCGCATATCAACAAAATGCAAAACCGCATATGTGAAGTTGTAGAAATTATTTTCTAGAGAGTAAAAACACTCATATTTCCAAATGGTTCTCTTTTTTATAAAGTAATCGCATTTCTGGCTAGTATATTTCAGGACGAATGGATAAGGCAGCCAATGTCAGTTACACGGTTTTGCACGTTCCCACGACAGTCGGGTCTACATAACCGGAACGACCCAGATTTATATCTGGCCAAGGACTGGCATTCCAGCAACAATCCCCAAAAAGTTTTTGGGGAATTTGTATGCTGCTAAAACAACAACAACACGGTTTTGCAGAATGACGATACGCGTTTTTGTACTTTACACGACGATATATGTATTCAAACATAAAGCAGCGTAAAGTAGTAGAAGCCACGAGTTGTATAGTTGTTAGTTAAGCCCGTCGGCATTCGGACAATATGCAATTAAACAACTAGATACTAGACTTAAACTTAAAATGCAACATTTTTAAGCTTACAACAATGTGATTATGCTTTATTGTAGAACAATACATATGCACATAACGCATTTTTTTTAAGAATCTGATATTCGGAAATTTTAGCAGTTTTAAGCTAATTGCATTTTTTTTGGAAAAGTGAGGAAACTACAAGTTCCTAACAAAAAGAAAACAACCAAAATGACTAGTTCAAATGCCCACCACGGCAATCATTCTCTTTTACTCGAACTAAATTAGGCTTCACTTTATTTATGAAATCATTAAAAATGATGGCAATGTTAATGAATACAAGTCAAGAGACTAATGGTGATTTCGTTTCTTCCAAAAAATGTTGCCCTCCACCGGTGCGAAAAGTGTTTGATGTTACACTCATTTACACTTTTGCTTTTCCTTGTCTAGTTCACGCATTTCATAATACTGTCGTTTTAAACAACGATCTAGAGAAATTCGACTCGACGAAATTTTCAGGGCAACCATCTCCCCTGACAAAGCTTCAAAGGGCTGAAAATGTACCTTTTTTTTGCCTTCCAAGAGTGTGACATTTTAAGAAACGACCACAAAATTTTCCCACCCATTTACCTTTAATTTAGAATCGAATACGAAAAGAAGAAAAGTCAGTCAAAAGACGACATTTTTTGGTAGAAGCGAAATCCCCATAATATTCAAATACTTTACTATACATCGTCAGAGTTTGCAAATCTACTTAATAACAAGAATGCAATCTTCTCCTTGCCCTCTACGCACAAACACTTAGAAGAGGGCGATGAGAAGCCAACATTTTTTTGTAGAAACGAAATCGCCATTAATCTAAGCATTCACCATCATGACGTTAGCTTATCGATATCCCTTTACAAGTAATAGTTTTTTTTATAAATTTAAAATTTTGGTTTCGAGATTTTACCTTTACCTGTACTATTTTATGATATTCATTGTAATATGATTTTTATACACAAAATGATGTAAATAAGTGGAACATATACAGGCAGTGAATTCAACCCAAGCAACTTTGAATCCAAATTGAAATTCACTCAGAAGTGAATTGCAGAACCTGCCTGATAGTACATTAAATATATATAAATATATATAATATATATAAATGTACTTATATTTAAAATATCCATAAATGCCGTATGTAACGTGTTTGAATGAGGGGCTGCATGCATATTTTGAAATAAGAAAATAAATAAAATATTTGCATAAATATGTTGTAAACACATATTTTTCGTGGCTCATAAAGTTTCTATTGCTGGCCGTGCAAAGGTAAGTTAAAGTACGAAATCACACTAATACCCTTTATTCTTAAAAGGCGACCACTTCCATGGCTACGAGGGCGCTGATGTGAAAATCACTATGGTACCGTGAGTACTAGCACAATCTCAATAATACACAATTATTTATGTAACGTTCATTTTAATGGTAAACATTATTATCAATTTCAATAGATATTTTGTGAGTTCCTCGATGGATTTGTTTTCTACCTACCCTTAATTTCGAATGTATGAAGTATTAAAAGTGTTTAAAACAATGTTTAAATATGTTTAAAGCATGTAAATTAAAACATTTACGAAAAATTTGTTTAAGTCAAACAATGTTTAAATATGTTCAAAACATGTAATTAAACCATTTACGAAAAATGTGTTTAAAACATATTTTCTTTTCATTTTTAAATAAAACGTGATGTTTTTGCCTTTTTGAAAAAAAAAACATTTTTTCCAACCCTGGTCCCAGTACGATAAAGACGGCGCCCAGAAAGGCATTGGCAAAACATTACGCGACTTCGTCAAGCCAAGAGCTTATTAGGGTAGTACACTCTAAAGAGATACAAGCTACTTACAAACCTCACCAAGGATAGGCTAAGAATTATTACAGGCATTTTGACGAGTTTTTGCAGGCTCAGGGGCCACTTGTTTAATCTGGGGATCTGGTCAAGTGACTTATGTATGCCAAATAGTCAACATTGTGAGGCAATCGCACGAAGAAAGGAGGGTGGGGTCAGTTCGTAAATCCATTGCTGCGGCGTTACTGCAAAATACTGTGCTCTTTATTTTTAAACTATAATTGATGAATATGTCCAGTATGCGGAAATACGGTTAGATGCCGAATTGAAACTAAGTTGCGAAAATAAGGCAATTCTAAGAACTATAGTTTATGAATTAAAAAGTGTTTAGTTCTTTGCAGTAATGCTGCGGGTTTTAGTTACGAAGTGGCCCGTGCTTAGGACATATATGTATGGCCAATAGAGAAGCACATACAGTCCCTGTCCCCGTAATCTATTCTAAAATACATAGCCTCTGGGGCTGGATTCAGTGTTGTGTAAGCTAAGGGCACAAGAGGTCTACTGGTCGCAGTGCTTGCCCTACTCATATCTATCTATCTATCTGTACTAAAAAAGTTAATTTGAACATACAAAACGCGGCCGTTCCGCCGTTCAGAGTGTAAAATTGTAGGTCCCTCACCTTTTATTTACACACATAATGCATTTTAGTGCTTACTCTTCTTAATTGCCACTACTTCAATTTTGTCATTACTCTTACTAAGAGACTTCCGCTGTTTTTTGTGCTCCTTCAAAGTGGCATTATATTCTTTCTCTACTTCCTTTACAGCTTGAGCTGAGATTGTCCAATCGGAATTCCGATCATTTGATGCTTTTGTGGGATCTTCAGACACATCATAAACCGGTATTTCAACGCCTAAGCGTTTGCATACTTTTTCCAATATGTCATCCACATAGGTTGATATTATTAAATCGGCATGTTTGTCCTGAAATATACAATTAAAATATTAAATGGAAATTTCTAATGCGAATAATTAAATTTATTGCATACATGTTTCGTAGGCTGTAGATTACAAATAATGAGTTTTCCTCCGTACTTTTTATTTTTCAGCGGTAAATTCCCACTTGGTATGATTTGAAGTGTTGTGCCCAATGTAATATTTACAGCGGCCAAGCTAAAATATGTTAATATATTTATGTACATAGATATGTTGTTTTTAATATTGTATGTATATACATATGTACCTCATGCAAAGAATTAATTATATGTACAATGTGTTTTGCCTTTATTTCTCTTTTTTAAATAAGGGTAAAACTTTTTATGGCATAAAATTTTGATGGATGCCACTATCCAATTTCTACGTAGAATTGCTCGGTGATTGCGAAAATCGAGCTATTTTTTTAATCGATACGTTTTTGAGATATTTGCAATTTACCGTTTTTCGGCTTAAAACAAAAATTGGTTCCACTTAATCACGTATATCTTACGAACTAACAATGAAGGAAAGGGAGGGATAAATAAAGAAGTAATGAGTGGTCAACTCAAAATACGTAGACATTTTGTATGAAATATGAATAGAAAAGCGTTACTAAGGTTTACGTGGCGTATGAGTAACTTTCTTTCAAGCTAATTTTTCATGCAAACAATTTTTGTGTACTTTAATTTGACCATTCATTACTTCTTTATTTGTCCCTCGCTTTCCATCATTGTTGGTTCGCAAGATATACGTGATTAAGTGAAACCCTACTGAAAAGAAAAGAAGAAATTTTAAACGAAAAATTCAATACAAAAACTATAATTGTTTTAACCATCACCGAATATTTGTTTGTGTATACATGCATTTGTCGGTGCTGTCAACCAAAATTTCCTAAATCAATTATGAAACAAAACAGAGTTGATCACAAATTGCTCCAGATTTTCAAACTTACGTGGAGTGCATGAGAGCCATGTCTAAGTCCCGCTCTGGGAGATCAGCTTCCCAGTCAAGCACATTATCTAAAAGCAAGCCACCACGACATGCACGAACTCGTCCATCGTCACCAGAGCGACACCTGCCGCCACAAGGCTTTTGACCCACGGTCTCCGCCGCTGTTTTGCGCACGAATTGGCGCCTGCATTTGTTGCATTGATCCACAAACATATTGCCGTGCAGCTCAGCTAAGAGATGTCGTGGTAACCCCGACTTCAAATGCAGTCCATCGATGTTTTGACTGACAATGTATCGCACATAACCCTGCTGTGTTAGCGCTCGTAACGCCATATGTGTTTTTGTTGGTTTTGCGTGGTTAAAAGATACATTTATGGTAGGTTTTTCACCTTTTTCCTCCAATGTCCACACACCTTTCGGACCTCTGCAAAATCTTTAAACTCCCTTATTTGTAAGAGAAATAATCTATCTCGCTTACCGGAAATCGGGTATTCCAGCGCTGGTGCTTACACCTGCGCCTGTATGTACTACGATACGTCCACGTCCGGCTAACATCCAATCTACTAGTTCGGCGCATTTCTTCTCGACTGTTTCAGGACTATCAAATTGCTATTTCAAAGAATGCAGACCTAGTAAATAGTTTCATATTAGATTTTAACCTACCTCTGGTAAACCTAAAATGCCTTTGTTTTCATATGGCGATAAACCATCCGCGTAATTGCAGCTCATGGTATTTTATAATAAATACCAATTTAATCGCACTCAATCACCGCGCCTTTTTCGTTTTCTTTGTTTGTTTTCATTCTTAGGCAGATGTCAAAAACACTCAGAAATATACTTTTTTCTTGCTTCTTTGATTAGGTGATCTTGTATTTTTGGTTCATGCTATGGGCACTGTCACACGGTCAGTATTTATTGACGTGATCCAGGTTAGATAATTATTGACAGCCGCGGTTTGACACTCCCTTACAAAAGGTTGCATTTACGAAGGACGGAGAAAGCGGAAGAATGAAATCCCTGGATGCGAAAATGGTAGTAGAAAAGTACGCAAAGTAGGCACTTAGTAGGGAATTTCCTCTTTTAAATTCTAATGTATTTGCAGGAAATCTGGCATTTTAAGCGAAATTTTGAACGTAATATTGATATATCTACGTGAATTACGTAATTTATGTGCTATTTAGCTGTATAAAAACTGCAAAATGACTCAAAATTAAAATAAGACTACTATGAGATTGATGTAAACATCCAACTTAAAAAAAAAGTTTATGTTTTCACCAGTTAAATATGCTTATACTTCTATTTCACAACAAAGCTACACTGTTTCCATGTAAATTTTTCAAAGAAGCAACACGGTGCCACTGCTAAGGGAGCGGTGCGAGAGAGACAACTGTCAGTTTATCGAACCTTCTATTATTGAATCATGACGTGATCCAAGTATCGCGATATTTATTGACGGTGTAGCATGCAGTATTGATGGATCGTAATACATATCGCAAAATTTCTAAAAATTTTGAAATCTGGATCGCGGATCGCAATACCGTCAATAAATATTGAACGTCTAGCACTTTCAAAACGCGATCCGTACATTTCGTCAGTATATCTTTTACTCTCATAATGCGAATATCGAAAACGTGCCTTCGCTCTAGGTGCTTAAAACCATTCAAAACAAATTGAAAAAATTGTAATTAACATTGGAAATTTTAAAAGAATTATGGAATGCATTATCTGTAAATTATTCGTACAAAATAAAAATATTAAGGGTATTCATCAAACCTTATAAATGCATTGTAAACCGTATAAACTTATAATTGTGTAAACCTTATAAATGTACTGTCAAAATTTGTATGGAAACTCGTTTACACATTTCTGATAAATTTATCCAGCGATTTTACTGAATAAACTTGATAAACTGAAGACAATGCAACTCTGTCGCAACTCTAGCTATGTTTTCTTAGGCAATAATCGGGATCCGCATACAAATTTTGCACGCAAATTCAACAACGATATGATCCTGTTAGAGATATGGTTCAATTATTATCCCCTCTGTTTGTTTTGTTTCACTGATAATTCGCAAAGTTTGGTAGCCGTGACAAATGAATTCATACACAAACAGACATTCTGCCATTGTTTCTTATAACTTGCTTCAAATAAATAGCCTTTATGTTATATGTACATTTATTTAAATAAATATCTCGTAAATATAATTTTTTCCAATTTAGTGAGGTAGTTTCTATAATTTCTTTATCCCCGTGCTAGTAGTATAAAGTTAGTGACACTGCGCTTTATAACCAAAGAAAACACGACTATTGTCACATGTGTAAACGAAAAGAGAGTGTGGGTCGTTCATGTAACAGAGTTCATAAACTTATAAGATTATCTGCTTGATAAAGTTATCGGTTTAGATGAATACCACTATTTTCTTGCATCATAATAAGCGTCCAGCACAAATATGATGAAAATACTAACGAGATAAATATCGAACATGTAGCATTTGTGCGCGATCCATCAATCTATCAATATGGATCGCGATCCAAATATCGTGATAATTACTGACCCTGGGTTGTTGTGTCCAAACGCATTTGCCGAATCCAAAAACTTTAAAATACCCGTGTAATCAAAGGATTCACATTTTATTTAAGATAAATGTTTCAAATTTCCTACCACCATCTTATTAATAAACTCGGTTTGCACTATGCACTTTTTTTGCAAATTTCGAGGTGGGTTCTGCGCAAAAATACTGTGGTGATATGCACAAGAAATGTTGTATACCTTTGACATGCGGAAGCCCCTCTTCCCCGCAACACAGGAGAATTCTACTTAGTAAGGATTATAATCCCTAAGCGCGGCCGAAGGCAGAAGCAAGCGCAACAGATGGTAGACCTAACAAAGTGCATGTTTTCAATGTCGTAGCATAGCTTCGAATTACGAATTACGAAAATTCGGGTTCTAGAATGAGTATGATTCTTGATTACAAGTGTGTATAAAATTTTTTTTGGATCGGGTCACCCATTCGGACACAATAGTCCGAAATCATTGGGCAGATAACTAAACCGTTCCCAAATTGTGTCTTCCTTGCGATAGCTGGGCTTTTATTAGGTTTTAATCAAAGTTTTAATGACACTCATATATTTGTAAATATAAACAATAAAATAAAAGACTGCCAGATGTTCCTTACCAAGCAAAATTACCATTTAGATTTATTTGTGTACTATTTATATACTTAAGTAAAATATAATTTTATTTCACGCGTTCACTCAATAGTTGCGTTCCAGATGCTTCACGATTTGCAGGTTTTTACAGGAAGCCGTTCCAGGTGACCACCTTCCGTAAAGTTTATTAATGGAGAAAGCAGCTGTTCCTGAAAATCGTGAAGCATCTGGAAAGCCACTAATGGGAAAAAAAAATAATATGGCGACCCATGAACGAAAGACACAAGATCACGCGGGACGGAAAGAACGAAAAAAGTTATTTTCTAGCTGCCGAAATCTCGACGCCATCTTTGCTGTAAGAAGTAAACAACGAAAAGAACGGAGAAAACCGCGAAATTGTTGAACGCATGAAAAATCATTTTTATTATGCAAATTATTCTAAAAATCATGCCGTTGCGTTAAATTATTCTTTATCTTATGTGTACACACGTTGTCACAAGCGAAAATGAAGAAAATTGCAGTAAAAAGCCACCACCAAATTGTAAACAACGAAGAAATGTAAATAAACGGCTAATGTCAAAATCGTTCAACTTTTTTCCTTAATGCGATTCTAACGGGCTACTCTCCTGCCCGCGTGATCTTGTCTTTTTGGTTCATGATGGCGACCTCCATGATTTGACTGTTTACATTTTTTTCTCTTCTCCGTCTCCAATTATTCTCTCGTGTATTCCTTCCTGTTATTACGCTCTCGAGTCAGTGCTCCCTTGCAAATTTTTTGAGTTATTCACTTTTCGAGTCAAAATTTGCATGTTCCAGTACAAACTAGTAGTGACTATTTGTTATTATACACACCTACTATTTTCATTTAACGTTTTGAAAGAGCCCAAATGACGTTAGCAAAACAACAATGGGCATGGAAAGATAGAATTGAAAAGTAAACAAAAATATAAACAACAGCGCAAAGAAGAAAACAGAATAATTATTATACAAAGCAAACACAAAGAATACGTTCATTGGCAAATGTAAAGTGGGGAAGTGGACGGGTCGGATGGAATTGTCAAGAATCGCTACGGAAGTCGAGCAAGTGGATAAGTGAAAAAATAATTTGACAATTTGTGGTGCTGAGAAACAAATTTTTACAAATGTGTATATAAAACTTCAAAATAAATTGCAAAGGTGTTTAATAGACGACCATAGATCTCGGATATTAAGGGAAATGAGATTTTAAGGTACGTTCGAAGAGCTTTTAAATTTTTCGAACTGTGAGGTTTATATGCAAATATGCTATATGAAAAATAATAGGAAATTTGCCCATTATTCTTTGACGGTCATAGACGTCTTCTTGGCATTAATACATACATACATATATCTGTGTTCGTACGGAATAGTACCTTATGTCGAAAAGCTGGCTTTAGTATAATGCAGCATACGATTGCGAACGACTCGCTGGTGCCGAGCCGTTGAAGAACTTTTGGCAAATAAACGTAAAAATAGTTCCGATATTAGCAAGTCAATATACCTATTAAATCTCTTCAAAAAATTCCTTCTCGTTTAAAGAATAAAAGGAATGCAGCATTATACTAAAGCCAGCCTTTCGTCATAAGGTACTATTCTATACGAACATGCATCCATATGTATGTACATATTGAGTACGTCTATTTGCACCAAATTTCAATTTTGTAAATACATACAACCCATAAGGAATTTTGCATTTTTTGCTTAGAGTGAAAAGTTGCTAAATCCTTTTTTTGAGAAAACTCATCTTTTAATACACACAGGAGGCAAGAGACCAACAAAAATCCATCATTTCCAAAAGAATTAAGGTACTCGTTTTATTTCTTCCCGTTTATATTCAAATATGTAAAAGCAAGTACCAGAAGAAAATGGATAGGTACATATAAATACATATGTATATATGTATATGTATGTAAGTTTTTTCCTACTGTAAAATTTTTAAATGTGGATTTAGAAAGTTTTCACTCTAAGCTAGCGATATGTATATGAGTAATAACATATATGTATATATTGAGATATTCAAAGTTAGTAAATCTTTTGTTACATAGATATAGATGTACAGATGCATTCAGACGTCGGGAGCCTGTCATTTAAATACGCCAAAAGTTAATTATAATTAACCTAGAACGGTTTACAATATTACCGACGCTATTTTGTCGTTTCTCGCATTTGTATGTATGTTTGTGCACCTAGTAAATCCGCCCGGGTATCCTATAAGCGAAACTACTTTTTTTGATTTGCATACCATAGGCTTGGAGTGAAAATGTGCCAGTTTTTCAAATTTATAGGGAAGAATAAAAAGCTCCGTAACACAATTTCTTCGAGTATTTTGAAAAACTTAAAACAAGGCAACTTCTTTTGCGTAACAGATAAAATTCCCCGCTTTTGTATTTTGAATTTATTGGATTTTCTTGCTTTCCTTTGACTTAGCAAATTTACGTTTTTCTGAATAGAAACGGGCAGATTTAAAAACAAGTTATGCCTAAGAATATGTATAAACTTTGCCTGATATTGATTATTTCATTTGTATTTAAATTTATGGTGGCCAAACTATTATTTTATGCC